ACACACACACACACACACACACACACACACACACACACACACACACATATACACACACACACACACACATACACACACATATTTCACAGCATGGAGGAAGGAGCCATAATAGAGCAGCCACTAAGTGGATGTGGGAGGGGCTTGGAGAGGAAGTGCAGGGCAGAGAATAGGCGGTCGGTGGTGAGGGTTAAAACAATAGTGGGTGAAGTCACAGTTTGCCACATCCTCGTCCTGGAAGTCAATGGTTCCTGATACAACGCAGGTTTTTCAGAGCCAAGTTGGGATCTACAGTTTCTTTTTGGTTTTCGGTATCGGAAACTAACTACAACATGCACACGTATGTGGTGGGTCCCCATACCTCTATCTGTCTGTAGTCGCAGATGGCTCTTATGGGTGTTGTGGGTCCCAGGGTGCTCTCTGCGTTGCGGGGGCGGAGCTGCACCACCGCCTTGGCCCGGCCGACCAGGCTCGCCACCGTGCTCCGGTACTCGATCAGCTGCTCCTTCTCCTCCTGCGGGACGGAGAGAATCATTAGGACTGCCGATCACTTCACGTTGGTTAGTTGGTCTCAGAGAAACAGCGGTTCATTTTACGGTCCAACAGCAGCAGCATAAACAGGAAGGAAATACTATGAAGCCTTTATTATTGTAGTAGACTGTATAAGAAGAGGACGTAGTCATCACCTCGGGTTCTGCATTTTGGCCGTCGCCATCTAAAGCATACTCTGCTTTATGGTCTATTTGACTCTAAATGGAGCATAATTTACTAAATGAACATCATGCTGTATTGAAGAAGACTTGAAACTAGAGCTTGAGACCATAAACTCATGTTTACAATGTTTACTGAGGCAATAAATCAAGTAGAGTCATTTTCTCATATACTTCTATACAACCAGAGGAGTCGCCCCCTGATGGTTATTCAGGAGAATATAAGTTTATGGCACTTAAGCATTGGCTCCACTTTTCAGAACCGGAGGTTGCCACCTGAAAATAGTGTCAAAATCCTTAAAAGAGACAACATATTTCAACCACTATGGGTCTTTGTCAGGGAATTTAACAAACAACCTACAGTGGTCGAAACATGTTGGCTCTTTTAAGAAATGCTTTTTGAGTTATTTAAGATTTTGGAGAGCCTGGATTGCTTTCCTGTGTACCCAGATTTTTTCCCCACATTTTCCAAATCTCTCAAAGCGATTTCATTTACAGTTGAGAACACATATCACCCGTTGTCTCTCTCTCCTAATCTGCCAAGACCTCATGGTGGCGCTAGAGGAGAAGTCATGAGGCTTCCCCCTGGGAGATGATGGATGGGCTGACTGGCATTGGCATCCTTAACTAAAAATATTATGATACATCTTTCTTTAAGTTATCTATTTTACGCCAAAAGAACTGAATTATGAAGGAGAATGATGGGTGGCCTATTAGCCTGTAGCCTGTGATGAGTGGACTTCCTGACTCAGCTGCTCGTGGTAGCTTGGGCACTATCCATTAAAGATTTAAAAAGGGTGAGCTCTACCACCCTGACAAGTATAAGTACATTCAATTTATGTGTGGCCCCCAGCAGAGAGAGTCATTAAGGGTTTATTATAGAGAGGTACTGATGGATTGAGTGAGAGGTGGAGACAGAGTGAGATAGGAGGGGAGGGAAGAGGGGGGCCGTTATAAATAACTTTCAAATTACACCCCAGAAATGAATTTCACACTGAGACGGCGTTCGCTGCGGTCAGCACGACTAGAACAACTCAAATGACGAGCTAGAGGAAACTCAATTAATCACGAGGTACATTAAAACGTGGGGGCATGAAGAATTCCAAATTAATTGGAACCACAGGATCAACAGCCATCACTATGAGAACAATTTGATCATCAGAGAAGCGTTAATATGCTCTCTGGTCCTCTGGCTGTGATGAACTTATTACAAAATCTGGAGCTCACGAAGTCTAACCGTGTATGAAGAAGAAGTAAAATATCTGAATATTCATCAAATTGTGATACAAGTCTTATGAAAACTGTAATCTCTGCATGAAAGAGGGTGAAAGGGCTGATTTAATATCCTCTCCTCGGTTATCATGAGAGTCAAACAAAAGGTTCTGCTGTTTGTTATCATACAGAAGCTTTGGTCTTTTAGCATCAGCTTCAGTGAGAGACGAAGCACAGCGGACTGGAAACTGATGGACGCACATAGACGCACACAGCGTTAGATAATAGCACGTGGCTGTAGACACACACGGTACGCCCCAATGCTGCACAATCTGTGAAAAGAGCAGCTGTTTGTGACACGCGCCTCTTTATTGAGGATATGCTCGCTGCTCCGGCCTGTGGAGCGTTACCCACACTAACGCTGCCATCTGCTTCAAGTCAGAGGTGTGTGTGTGTGTGTGTGTGTGTAGAAGGTAGGTGTGAAGCTGGCAGTCTAACAAATGGGACACGGATGGAGAGGGGGGGGGGAATGATTCAGCAAAGGCACTCTCTACCAGATTACTTCCCCGTGTCATGTGGTGTGCTGCGGCTGCCCGAGACACAGCAACAATCGTTGGTGTGCTAACACCTCAGCTACTGCTGCTCCTGTGCTGTGTATATGTGCACAACTAGCTCCTGTTAAAGCTTCTGTCCGGGACTCTTTACATCTTTCATGTATAGGTTTGCTCTGTGGACAAAGGTGGCAGCAGATCTTCTAAACCTGAAGGAACGCAGTAAGCTGGGATAACAGAGAAACATCATCATCTATATACATTTATCCAGAGAATCTAAATTAAGTTGAAAAACCTTACAAGCAGCAGCCACTTTAAAGAACTTGTGTTTGGTTGAATTAATTACAAACATGCCAGAGTGTTTTTTTACCCCCTAAACCAGATTGATAATGTGTAGAGCCAGACCTTTTTCAGCTGACGCAGAGCTGAGGAGAAAGGGTTCAAGTAACAGTATCCAAAAGAGAGAAGAGACTTTTATTTTGAAGGGGAAGGCCCTTCCTGGATTGATTGTCCTGAAATAAAGACTTCATTCAACTTCTACGGTTTCCTATCGAGTATCTTCAATACATTTGAGGGTAAGCTGCTTTGCTCAAGGGTATTGAGGAAGCGTCCTCAATTCATTATTTCTAGTTGTTTAATGAATTTGCTGCCTTCATTTACTGCAGGTGGTTCAAATCAAACATCTGAGGATTACAGAGTTAGAAAATGATGTATATGAAAAATGAAGAACACAAAAATGTGAATTTTTTAGCTCATAAAGTTGACCAGTGCAGCGCTCAGAACTGGAGGTACAAACTGAAGGGGGACAGATACCATTGAGTCCTGCAGCAGGTCCTCCAGCTTGCTCAGTCTGCTGTTCTTGTCACAGGTGTACTGTCTCTTGATGGTTTCCTGGAGCTGGCGCAGGTACGACTCACAGTCCCGAGCATCACTCATGAACTGACACGGGAGACAGTGAACATGAGATATTCTGTGTACATGGACTGGTAACAAGGAGAACAGCGGGAGGATTTGGTGAAAACTCTATTTTACATATTCTGAACGCTCCGTTAGAAAGCTCACTTTCTGCTCGGGAGCAAAGCTGCAACGGTATTCGTCGCCTCACCTGGAAGTATGCTGTGTTGTCTTTGAGATGCTGCTCCACGCACACGCACAGCTGGTTCACCCACTGCCACTGAGTCTGCAAGGCCGCGCTGTACGCCTGAAAGCACGCAGAGAGACATGTCACACAGCAGTTACATACAGCGCAAGCTTCAAAGGGGAGCTACGAGGCATCAGCGGGGATGTTGATCGGCACAGACAGTCACAGTCATCAGGCAGCTTCTGAAACTTCTTGTTCCAACTGTGCAGTAATACGCAGAGGCGGAGAATAGGCAGTGTGAACATGTAAGCAAGTATGAAAATCCCAAGTCACCAGAATGATCTCAGGAATGATATAATCATGTTTTCTACAAAATATTCATTCATTTTCAGTATTTAAACCTTTAGATACCAGTTTAATTACATAATACCACTGGTTTGTGCTGGTTCTAGCCGCCAGCTCAGCCGTCGCCATGTTGAGAGCCATTAAGAGGCAATCGATATGCTCCCGATCTCTTATAAAGCACCTTTAAGGGTCTATTTTATACGTATTATAGGAGCTGAGGTGGAACTTTCAAAATTAAAAAACCTTGCCAAAATGTTTAACAAATGCATTAACACAGCCAAAATAATGGAAAAAATTAAAAAGTCCAAGAATGTCCCTAGTGAGGCAATAAGGTTAATATTTATATTGATATAATTCAAAATGTTTGGCAAAAAGTTTTACAAAAAAAAAAGTTTTACATTTATTGACTTCTAAAAATGCAACCCAACAAAACATCATGAAGAGCACAGTCCAGTAAAAGCAGCTGGGGTTGAACTGCTCCAATAAATGAGTCAGAGGCAAAAGCTGGCATCTTTAAAGGTCATTCAGTCTCAGTGCATAAAGTCATGGGTTCACCTCCACAGTCTGTTTGGCTGGATGGTTCTCCAGACACAGGCGGTTGGCTGTTTCCTGGAGCGACCTCATCACATCTTGTTTTTCATCCAGCTCCAACCTCGCTTCCTGCAAACAGAACAGGAAAAGACGGGTGGTTACAGTAGATTACGGGTTGCTTTTTCATGGCACCGGCCTGGCTTGTGTGCGTGTAAACACTACTGATGTGTGTGTAGAAAACATATTTGGACATAATTGCATTCTTTAGAAACTGTGCAGGGAGGCTTGTTTTATGTATGCCTCTCGTTTCTCTTTCAATAGACATCTTCCAGAGGTCTGCGTGTGCAGTCGACAGGAAGGTGGTGAACCCTTCCTCCACTCACGCTGTGTAACTCTCTCTTGGCGTTCATGCCGGCGTTGTTGTCGCTCCAGTCGAAGGCGATCTCCTCCTCCTCCCTCTCGTTGAGCCAGATCAGCTCCTCGGTGCAGTGCGCCACAAACGCGTGCAGGCTCTCCAAGCTCCGCTGGCGCCATGACGAATGTTCCTATGGCAACCACACAAACAGACATCATCGTCATGCTGATCAGCAGTGCAGAGAGAAATAAAAATAAATAAAAAGACATCCTCTGTCCTCAGGGTGTTCTAGGGGATTATACTGTTGGTTTTGGTACGTTTGCAGGGATTTTACAATAAATTTGCATTCATTAAACCATTTTTAAATGAGCTTTCATAACAAGGATATTAATTAATCTTTTAAGAATATTAGGTCATATATTATTATTTAAGCTACATATGCATCTATGCGCACATGCACACAAAACTGAGAGAGTGTAAGACTGAGTATTTCACCAAAAAAAGAAAGCAAAATGTATTTTAATTCAGGAGAGCAAAACTTAAGTAAAACATGCATTCATACAGAGTTAGGAATTAATAACACGTAAAACCAGAAATATATTAAGAGACAAGAAGCAAGAGGGGACAAAGACATCAAAAGAGAAGGGGGGGGGCAAAAAAGAGAGCAGATGCAAAGTTAAGTGTTCTTAGCATGAGAGTCCTGTCATGGTGTAATGGGATTAACTGAGGAAGGGGGTGAACTGGGAGACAAAGAAGTGTTACCACTAACACACACACACACACACAGTTCTTTCTCAGAGACTGACCAGTAGTTTGCAGTATTGGTGCTCCAGCTTGACCAGGGTTTCAGAGTAACTGCTCTTGAAGTTGGGGGATACTTTAGCCTGAATGAGAGGAAGGCAGAGCGTCGTCACAAACCCACGTCTCTCAGCCCAGAGATCTCTGTGTTCGTGTATGAGCGGTGTGTGCGTACCTCGTAGCTGCGCGCCTCCTGCAGGCTGCTCATGAGCTCTTCCACCGCGCTGTGTACGGCGTTGTGCTCTTGGAGGTTGTTTTCTACGGAGGGGAGGTCGGCGCCCCATTCAGCGTGCTCCAAAAGGTCCTGAGACGCACAAAGAGCAACGAAATATTTCGTATTTTTAGCCCACTGAAAACATTTGTTTTCTTAACTTTTTCAATATTTTGAAGTCTTGTTTCAGTTGAATATGTTTTCAGGCTTGTATTGGCTTTTGAATGTAGATTTGATGTTGTTATGGTAATATTAATGTTATTTAATCTCTTGACTGTTTCATACTTTATATTATGGAAGAATGAATCTCATTTTCCCCCGAAATATAAATGCTTTCCAATAATGTTTTACTGTTTTCTGTACAGGGTCCAAGATCCACTATATGGTATTTATGTTTCCTATTGATAGAGCAAAAGTTCCTGCTTCTATAAAGTGAGGATTTGCTGCTTTTATTCCATATTATTGTATACAGAGTATGTTATTGAAAAATAAAAAAAACTTTCTTGACATTTCATAGACTAAATCGAATAATCAAGACAGAAAAAATGACCAATAATGAAAATAATGGCGACGTGCATCCTCCAATATTACAGCTACAGTTTCTGACCTGCGTCTCCTCCACCCATCCGAGCAGCTCGTAGATGAACCTCAGGCTCCCTTCGTCCTCTGATGACGACATGGCCACCAGCTGGGAACGGGCCGTGGGTCGCCGCAGGAGCGCAGCACCGACTGCACCCACGGCCCCCACGGCTCCCAGCAGGGTCTGGCCCAGCGTCAGGCCGCCATCCGTGGCTCTCTGGCTGGGGTGCTCTGCCCCCGTGGTGCCCAGGGCCTGGGAGAAGTGGCCTTTCCTGTAGACGTTGGAGCACTGCAGTCTGAGGGAGACCAGCTCCTCTTGAAGGCAAGACACTCTGGTGATGTGAGAAAAACATGTATAGTTACTTACTAATTCCTTTCCCTGAGTTGATTGGCCTAAATGGTACAGTACATAAGTTAACAGCTGCACTGAAAGGCATCACACGTTTTATAACTCGTCTGGAGTTCAATCGCCCCGTCGCTCAGAGGTCCCTGCGGCCGATCGACCCGGTCACGGCTGTTTTCTGTCCTGGCCCCACAGTGGTGGAATGAACTCCCCACTGACGTCAGGACAGCAGAGTCGCTGCCCATCTTTCATCAGGCTGAAAACTCACCTCTTCAAGAAGTACTACCCTGAGCCTTCCACTCAGCACTTATTGTTTTCATATTAGTTTGTTGCACTTATTGTATTCATATTCATTTGTTTCTGCACTGTACTCTTGCTCTGGTTTATGCTCTTAGATGCATGCTTAAAAAAGGAGATGCCCTTATAACTTCTGGTGACTAGCAGTTCTCCTGAATAGCTATGTTGAATACACTTATTGTAAGTCGCTTTGGATAAAAGCGTCTGCTAAATGACTGTAATGTAATGTGTAATGAGAAGAGTTGAACCCTCCTCTCGTTCCCTGTTAGAAACTCACCTGAACACCAGCTGCTCCACCTGGTAGTACTTCTCCTCTCGGAGGACTTTGAGCTCCTGGTTGAGTTGTCTGATCAGAGACTCACAGTCCTGCAGGTAGCACGCCAGCTCTCTCTCACACATCACCGCCTCGCCGCTCTCCACTCGAGACATGTCCTGGACACCACAGCAGGCAGGTGATGGATGAGCTTTTTGCTTTTTTGTTTATTTGGCTTATGTGGTGAAGTTCTTTTTATACGAGTTCTAATGTTCTAATGTCTGGTGTTCCCCTGGCCATAGATTCAGTAAACAATACAAAGAAACTAAATTCGCAGCAAATAACAGCAAGATTACTTTGGTTTAAATTAAAAATATATATCAAATGAGGGCTTCTAAAGTGACTATGTGGATAAAGTAAAAAGATTATCTTCCTTCGGAGATAATTGGCAACAGAGCAGGAAAGAACTGGACCAGCTGTCTATGTACGTTTGTGTCCACACAGCAACAGCCCGATAATTACCATATTGCAAATGATCCAACATTCACCGAACATGAACCTGACGCCCCTGCATGTGTCTGTAAAAGGAAGAGCACTCACAGCCTGGAGTGTGTTCTTAGCGAGGGTGAGCTTCTCCTCACAGTCCAGAGCCATGTTCTGGATCTTATTAGCCCTCTGAAGCAGCAGTTCTAGCCTGAAAACACACACACACACACATACATATATATATATATATATATATATATATATAGGGATTAAAGGGGCATGTTCCTGAAAATCACACTTGATGAGAAATTGACCACGAGAATTTGAATGGATTAGTGTGTCTGCGTGTGTGTGTGCGAGTACCTCTCCACAGCCGGCCGTAGAGCCTTCTCTCGCTCCAGCATCTCCAGGATGAGTTTGCCCCACTCCTCCTCGAGGTCGTTGGGATGGAGGCCCTGAGGAAGCTTAATACGACCAAACTCTATCCATACCTGGAGACACACACACACACACACACACACACACACACACACACACACACACAGTGATTACATGCTTAACGTCCCATGACGCTTCAGTGCAAGTGCACACCATAGACTGTATAAGAAGTGGACGTAGTCACTGTGACGTCACCCATTGGTTCGTGGATGACCGTTTTGAAGCCTCAATTTCCGCATTTTGTCCGTCGCCATCTTGTTTTTTTTGGAACCATAGGTGACCATATTTGGACTAAAGGGCGGAGCTGGGAAAAAGGCGCGGCAGCTAAAAGTCTTGCTATGTTGAAAGCACGACCCGCCCTACTCAGCCTCCGATTGGCTAGTACTCGTTGTCTTCGCTGGTTGGGTTGGTTAAGGCATGAGATTGGTTAGGGTAAGAACATCAGGGTAAGCCAAGTTGAGGCACAAAAAGGCGGGTTATGCTTTTGCTATAGCAGGATTCATCATTTAGGGCATTGGTAGAAGCTAACGCTAGCTTGGCTAGAATGGTGCATCCGTACATTTACTGTGATGCTAATTTTGGGTAGCAAATACTTTAGGGAAAATTGAACAGTCGACTCCTTATTGTGTCTTTTAGTTTAAGCGTACACAGAACAGACAGACTACCTAAACCGGAAGGAAATCAATCTATCGCTTCACATTGACTTTGTATCTTGTCACTTTTGTCTGTTGGCAAACAGAAAAATGCCGAAAGGGCCTTTAACACAGAACATTGAAGAGTATTGTAGTCGCCGATTGTTTCCCCCTCGGGTGGGCGTGGTTTTATTGGGTATGACGCAATGCGCGTGTCTGTACGCCGTGGTAGAGACCTGTCAATCACAGGGTATCACCGCTCTAAAGCATACTCTGCTTTATGGTCCATTTGACTCTGAATGGACCATAATTTACTAAACGAACATCATGCTGAGGAAGACTTGAAACTAGAGACCTTAAGCTCATGTTTACTGAGGTAATAAATCAAGTAGAGTCACTTTCTCATCACCTGAGGTCGCCTGAATTTGGAAGAACGCAAGCTTGAGGCACTTCGGTACATAGCTTCCTTTTCAGACCCGGAGGTTCCCACAAACACCGTAAACAGACCCAAACAAACTACATCAACAGCCTCCATTACGTTAGCGCTACATTTAGTCGGATCATAAGTCTCACCACAGACGAACACTCTGGTGCAATCAGCTGAGTGAGAATAAAGGAGGAACCATCACCGACTATCATGTGTTTTCTGTTCAATGAAACAATCTGCAACATTGATAACAGCAAAACGTTGGAAATGTCTTTGCTCCGGGAAACAAACGCAGCCTATGACTGAACTCGCACAAACCTGCTGAAACACCAAACACCACAAAAACCCACAGAACAGTGTGTGCATCATGGGTCTCAGCCATATGGACAATCGGCTCTGCACGGTGCCGAGGTCTCTTTTCACTCGTTCATGTTCTTCCTCCCTCCTGTTCGCTCTTACCTCCAGCAGTTTGTAGAGGTGTTCAATGTGACCTTTCTCGACCTCCTTGGCGGGGATCTCCGTCTCTTTAAAATGGACGTACTCGTTGTAAAGTGCCTGGAGGAGGAGGAGCAGGAGGAGGAGGAGGAAGAGAGTTACTGATGAGGTAAATATTACTGTGACACAGGCTTTGTTTAAGGTCAGACACAAGTCAATACCTGTTATCACAGGTACAGTGAAAGCTCTCTGGGTGGTCATTAGTCATCAACGAGCATCTGGTACATGACCGCATCATTTCCCCTCCCTCCTCCTTCTCTCCTCGTCTTTAGACATTATTTCTATCACAGCAGCATCCTTTTCTCACATTATCCTTCTCTTCTTTTGGCCAACATCACATATCTGTTCTGCAATCTATTTCTTTTTACTCTGTCTGCTGTCGTCCATTGTATTAAAGAAATTGCTCGTCGGCTCCTTTTCTTCCTGGCTGCATGTTGGTGGGACTGAAGAGAACAAGCCTAGCAAATTTACAGGGATTTGATTTCCAATAAACAAATGTGTTTGCAAACAAGCATTCATGTTGCTATGAGGTTATTTGGATCACAAGACCCAAGATTAAAAAAACCTGAATCTTGCTAGATGTTGCAAGGTTTGGTGTCCTTTAAACATTGAACTATAAAGAGAGAGAGGTTGGTGTCCAGTGTTAACTTTGGCAGCTATTTTAGATTGTGCTCTTAGACAAAAATGCTTATCAGTTTTAGTCACAAATGGTTGACAAAAAGTCATATTTTTATCAACTTTTAGTCAAAATGTTTCTCTCTATATTTTGTCAGCAATTGTTTTTTTTTATTGATTCTTAGTCTTTTGTCAAATGTCCTTTATTACTCATCAGATTATACTGAGGATTCCAGTCAATCGAGTCCAGCTGAGACCAATTGTGTCCCTCTAGTCAAACTTATGTCACATGAGATTTGATGTTATCTGATGAGAAACACCGGTTGAAGGATTCAGAATGCAGCTTTTCTACTCAGAGTCCGAGAAAGGGACAGAGAGAGGGGAAGAGAAGGAGGAATGTGACGAGAGTAGAGAGAGACTTTGGTTAAGTTTATACATTTATAACTATTTTACTCTTGTCTCTTTTCATCAACGATATTTCATGTGGATATAGTAACAGCTGGTGTTAAGTTACGTCGGCGCTGCCTCGTGTTAGTCATGGAGAAAAAGGCCGTTGATGAACATATTTCATGACAGTTTACATTAATGAAGTTAACACTGTCTATTCAACGCCAACTCTAATGCCAATTTGAACGGAGTAGCAACAGGAAACTGCTTATGATGAACTCTAAAGAGCCCTTGCTCACCTTGAGTTCCACAGGGTTTTGTGGGAAGTTCTTGTTGGCCATGAGGGCCGTATGCTGGCGGCTCCACTGGAGCAGAGAGGAGAACCTGGACTGGTACTCTGACCAGCGCTGGTCCACCTCCTGATGATGGACGAGGAGAGAGCAGGAGGAGGAGATGGAGGGAGAAAGAGAGAGAGCGAGAGAGAGGGGTGTGAAATCATACATTACAAATTCACAAAAAAAAAAAAAATGTACAGGCACAGATAAAACCAGAACAAATTCCTAAATTGTTTCACAGTAATGTTGGTGTACATGAGTGGAGCAGAGTGGGACTTGCCTGTGCGGTGATGCCCTCTCCTCCCTCAGGGATTTTGGGGAAGGCATCATAGATGGAGGAGACGTAGGTGATGACCGACTTCTCGTCTGGAGATGGAACATCAACATCTGAGGAGAAAGAAAAATGGAAAATTACAGAAAGAAAACCACAAAAATAAAAACATGTTTATCATGCTGTCAGGTAGAAGAAATCATGACTGACATTTTATGGTTCTGCTCAGGATTAAACCCAATTTAAACTCTGACGATCAGAAAATAGATGTAACCATAAATTATTGACAACTAGGCAAATGCTTGTTAAATACTAAACTAAAAGGAGCTACAGGTCCACAGATACAGACCATTACTATAATAAGACAATCACTGGCTGCAGAAATGATACATTTACAGATGTGAAAACTCAACATTCAAACTACTAGAAAACATACCATCCAGGTTTTGCACTGGATATAGCACCACTCATGTTGAGCAACATAGAGCAATGCTTTGAGTGACAGGTAATGTGAGGTAATATCAGCCCGACAGTAACCTCTAGCCAGTGACTCTCGTGTAAATCAGGCCAAATGTGTCTGCTAACAGGAAAGGAACAGCTCAAACAAACCAGACGGAAAAATCTACCCGACTGTCTTCCTGCAGTCTGAACCCAAAGCAGTGTCACACATTTGGCTCACTGTGGCAAAAAAAAAAAAAAAAAAATAGTTTTTCACTGAAGATAGAAGTCCTGGACGTTTTTTTTTTTTTTTTTTGTTTGTTTTTAAAAGAAGGGAAAAATAGAATCTATATATTCTAAATTGCCCACAATTGATAACAATATTGAGGGGGAAATGGGATCTTCACTTTGCTATACATAATGAACAACTGACATTTTTCCATCCTCCCCTCCCCTCCCCGTTCAGCAGCCTGCACTTCACTTTAACATTCGCTGAGTTTCTGTCACGTGACCGTTGGTCTGATGCGAGTCAATCGTGCCGTCACAGTTACGCTGATGAGCGCAAAATGTAATGTTCTTCAAAAGATCGGTTTTGTGCAAACCGTTTATTTTTGGCAGAACTTTAAATGGAACATGTAGAATGAAGTGGTTTTGTTGTAAAGCATTATTTCAGACGGACTTGTAGACGTTGTTACTGGCCGTGATGAATGGTGTCATTTTAAACCCAAAGACGAGGTTGTGGGGTTGAGAGGGTTAAGCCTCTCGTTCAGAGTGGACAACAGCTCCCCAGAAAAAAGCTCAGTTGCTAAAAGTTGAATCATTATAAATAAATCCGTCTTGGCTCCACCCTGAGCGTTCAGTCTCACCCTCAGCGTCCAGCAGACTGGTCACCCCTAGCGACTCGGCGATCTCGAAGGCCTGCTCGAGGTTCTCCCGGTTACTCTGCCGCGACACCGCCTCCATGTCGATCAGGTCTGGCCTGGAAAACAAACATTTTGTTAGTGTAAGCTGTGTGTCTGTGTGTCTCGCCTCTTATCTGCTTATCTGTTTAGCAGCTGGTTCAATGTGAGTATTCCTGGTAGTGTGTGTGGTGTTTACCTTCCTACAGTGCCTTCAGAAACATCTTTGACTTTTTAAGTATTTTCGCAAATGCAGTGCAGTTTACAACGAACCGTCTTACCATATTGCATTACAGGTATCATTTTAAAAAGGAATTAAACTCCCCAGAACTAATATTTTGTTGACTACCTACTCAAACAAAACAACAAACAGGTGATACAACGTGGCTGCTCGTCCTCTGACCTGTATCTGTGCAGCAGAGCGTTGAACATGCGTCCGTTGCTCCAGGATGAGGTGAAGTTGGTGCAGCGGAGGCCGGGGTAGCCTTCTGTCGCCTGCTGGCTCCATAGCAACAGCTTCTCTTTGGCCGTGAGGTCGCCCGACTCGCCGCTCACGTAGATCTCTGAAATCTGGAGGGAGCAGACAGAGAGGCAGAGTGGGGCTTAGTGCTGGGATTCATTGTTTCCTGTGTGCACAGAGATCAGAAACACAAACAAACTGCAAACAAAAAAAAAAAAAAAAACTGCAATTCTCCGTTGAGTTGCCAAATGTACTGAAACAAACTGAGTTGCAAGTCCTGACTCAATTTTGCAGAATCGATCACGGTACATTCACAACAACAAAAAAAAGAAATCATAGGAATTCAAAATGCTTTCCAGATGTTGCTGCACATATTACGTTCCATCTTAAAGCCTCTTTAGGCCAGTCACCATAGTGGCACACAGCAGACGAAATAAGCTTTTTGAGCCACAATGAGTCGGCGAAACTCCCGTCAGCTGTGACTCCACGAGACACACACTCACTGGAGAGGTTCCAGTAACTTTCACGCAACGTGTCTTCTCCCTTCAAACTCCTCATTCATCTTCCTGGTGATCCGTAACCCTCAGTGTGTGAGACACACAGTGTGTATCTGGTTTTCAGTATTCCCTTACTCTATCATCTAGCCTGCTCATTAGCTCGTGTACCCCCCCCCCCCCCCTCTTTCCCCCCTCGCCTCCCCTTTTACCTCCATCTGTCTCCTCAGTTTGCCGTGTTCTTTCATCTGCTCCCCCTTTTGGTATCGCCCCCCCCCCCCCCCCTTTGCTCTGCACTGATGTCATTGTGACTATTAGAGACGGGTCATGTGTGAAGTGCGGTATTTTCTCAGCCAGGGATTTGCGATACCGACTAACTCTGTGACATAAATTGTGTTGATTTTGCATTATCGAGTAGTCTCGAGTATCTGTCTGAGGTAATGATTTATAATTATTAGGGCTTTTCAAAAATATGTCTCAATATCACCATCTAAATATTCAACCTCAATTGTTTACATTTTCTGGCTTGTGCTGTATGATGGTGCAAACAAATACTGTACTATTTGACTGAGGAGAAACAACAGATTCTGTTCATCACAGCTCCTGAAAGCCCCTGAAGAAGATGAAGTCCATGTTTACTGAAGGCCTGGAGAGAAACCAGGCTTCCATGGAGACTGACAGCTACTTCATCTACGTATGTCTTCTGTTCACTGAGCTACACCACCACATCGGCCATTTTCCCTCTGTGTCCTTCATCCCATCAATTAGCTCTCTTTAGGTCCAACTGTCCACGGCCACAGAGGCAGAGTGATGTATACGTAGTGACCGTCATCAGTATTCTTCTGTTATCCCTTCTTCCCTCACTCACCGTCCAACACTCCTCCCTCTGGCACCGTCTCTCTCCCTGTTGCTAATATAGTGCGGTATGAAAGTTCAGTGTGTGCAAGGAGAGCGCGCAGCAACAGCGAATAAAGACATGAGAAGCAAGATGAGAAGAGAAAGGCCAGCAGCGGAGGAGCAACTGCATGTGGTTTCACACAAAGTACTATTTGTTCAACTTTGTGTTCAGCAAACGACAAAGACAGAAACAGAGATTAACCAACTGTTAACGAGGACACACATAATGTTAATAACACAAACACACCAGTGTTTACTCCATTAGAGAAAACTGTGACGAAATGTGTTCGTCTACAACCTTTTTGTCCTACGACTAAAACGAGGCGATGACACGACGGCACAGACTTCATTGAACACGACAGGCGACCATATCAACATGCAACACTCTTCATCGAAAAGAGACGGGACTGAAATGGAATTTAAAAAAGAGAAACTCCACTCTTTAAATATTATCTGATGACTAAAACTAAACTAAACTAATTATGCTTTTCTTTGACAGATAAGACTACAATGCCCAGAAGTTTCTAGTCAACTAAAAGAAACAGGACGAGGTTGACTAAATATGATAAAAAACAATCAAGGACATTTTACACGGGACTCATACTAAAAACATAAATATCTGACATAAGTAACACTAATATAAAGACCATCTCACAACAGTATGCATGCGCGTGTCAGGGTTGATATTCAAACAGCGGACTGGAGTTCTACAGATTTCCAACAGGATCACAACCTTTCCGAGCAACAGGAGTTTCCTAACAACTGGTGACCGTGTTAATTGCTGACTTTTAGCCCAATGCGTCGGCGGCAACTTACTTCAATATTTGCAGTAGATAATAAACACAGATAAGCATCAATTTAAAACTAGATCGAAGGCTTTTACGAGGACACCTCCATGTTCTGTCGGGGTTTTCAACAGCTAAAAACTCAGAACCTCTGAGTACACAGTATATGTCATGCTATCTGACGTTCAGTAGATGCTCGGTTTCTCCACAAAATACATGTTTATATCTGCCCACGAAATATTGAGCCACTTACTAATGTATTCTTTCCACTTCTCTTCCCAAACTGCATGTGCACACTTCTATACGTCATCATTTTCTTTGCAAACAGTAAGAGGGTCTACATACATACACACACACACACACACACACACACACACGTTACATAGAGTTTTCTGTTCATCTGATCAAATAAGGGAAAAGAGGAGAATATGGACACAAGCACGCACAACCTTTTCACCCCCTGATTTCAGTTAGAGACTCTCATGTCACACAATGAAGCGGACATTATGGCTGCCTCAGCATGTTTTTTCGCCCTTAACATCTTTCCCTAGCCATCAAGAAGTGTATGCTATAGCTAGCACGTTAGCATATTTAGCAATGGGGTTTGTGACTTGAAAGAGAATCGACAAACGGTGGATTCGGCTGTGTGCTTTCCTGCAGAGCTCCGCCTCCTTTGCAGAGAACCACAGAGCCTCTAATCCTCGCTCTGAATATTGATACAGCTCTCTGTGTGAGGCCTGCATCTGCACAGAGAGCCTGCACTCCCACTGCAACAGCTCCTCCTCTTCCTTTATTCATCATGTGGAGATATATACGGAGCCTCTGACAGTAAAAGAACTGTAATATTCTAAACACAAGGTTCACCAGCTTCTTGGCAGCAGCTTTTGAGTGCATCTCACTGCCCTCTTAAAGAATGAAGCTCGTTATCGTGCGGTCCATTAGGAACAGACATTGGGTCAGTTCCATTTGCTGAAGAAGGCTGTGAGTTGTGGTCAAAAGCTCCTGAAAAAGCTGGTGAACCCAGAATCAACCTCTGTGTGTGGCGGTTTCTAAATGTACTAACTCTAAATCTCTATGAAGCGCTGACACACTGTTAGCAAGAAAGCTATATTGTTTGGTTAGCTAACTACCACTTTCTTATTGTGAACACATTAATATTGTGAACCACTGTGTGAGGCCAACAATCTGTGTCGTCATTGGAGCAGTGAACTTACCATCAGCTGCTTCGCTGATTCAGCCTGCGGTGTATTCAGCTACCAAACAGCCAAACGACAACAACGGTTTAATTAACAGAACTGGCTCCTCTGAAGCTCTGACTTGTCGGTGTAACCCGCTGTACAACTCTGCCTCGTGAGCAAGGCTCAACACCCATTTCTAAAAGCTGTTACCAGGATGGCAACCAAGCCTCAGCATATAATACAATAAGTGGCAACAGACCTAAATTATAAATAGTAAGTAAACTTCATGTGTCACTTGTCGAGGTGTTGTACATGCTTTTCCGTCCATACTACTGCGGCACAACTAGAGCGTATGAACGAATGAATTCATCAACGTGACAACGTAACCACTCGCATGCATTTACCAAACCAGACAAGACCACAATGCAGTAATATACAGAGTGAACATGATCCATACTCCTTTCCACCAAGATGCCCTGCAGTATACAGGTCACATTGTGTGTGTGTTTGAAGTCCTGGTGTTGAGACTTCACACGGATCTCTGCTGCTGGGTGGTCCTCTACATGTACAGTATGTACTGTATATATATATATAGATATATATATATATCTATATATATATCCATGTGTGATGTTCAAGTATAGACGTGTACGTGAGTGAAACGTACAATCACGCAGAAACACCCAGAGGTTTGTTTGAGGTGGCAGCAGAGACTATAGTGCTGCCATGATCTAGCTACAGGCATCCATGATGCCGCCCCCCCCCCCCGTGGCTCTAGAAAGCATGGCCTCTTTGAAGTTTGTGGGGAGAGGAGGGAGAGCGATGGATGAAGGGAGGGAGGAGATAAAAACAAATGGGGGGGAAGGGAAGGAATAGTTCTACTGGTACTTAAAACAAAAAAAGCAAGTCCATAAAGAAAAAGGATGGATGGGCGGACGAAGGACAGACAGATGATGGATGGACAGCAGGACAGCTTGGGGGGGGAGGGGTATGTGGGTACATTTCAGTGGTGGTAGAAATCCCCTCGAGGTTCGACAAACCAGACGTCTGGCTGATGAATGCGCATTTCAAATCCCTTTTTATGCAGAGATGGGCATCACAGGCACCTGCATACAAAGGCCAGCTGCACTTTAAACCAAAACACACTCTTCTCATAACACATGAAACACACAGACACAGGGGTATCGATCATTATAGCCCAGGAGGAAAAGCCCCTCTTAAGCAGGGATCTCTGTGGATCCACTGTGTCACGTGTTTGTTTCTCATGACTCAGCAACTGAGCCTCAAACCAGACACGTAGCGCTAAACGCAACCGAACACACATCCATACTGTACTGCCTGTGTAACGTGGAGGACAACGGAAAACTAAACGGTTGGAGCCGTCGTGGGGCGAAAAAAAGCATCCGTCACCTGCTGTACCACTGCAGTGGGCTGCAGCAGCCTTTTCTATTCTCAAGGTGAAGGAGAGCTGAAAGCTGTGAGGTAGCAGAGAAACTCTCGCTCGCTTTGCTGCAAGCGAGACCCGAAACATTTTTCGCATCCCAAATACAAACACGTACTGTGCAAAGAAGCGCTGGGCAGGAATAACAGGAGGAAGTCCAAACAGATGTGTATGATAAACCCAGGCACATTGTTATCTATATTTCACCAGATATGGACAGGAAACAACTTGGTACGGAGTCATGAGGCACTGCACCACAGCTGTTTCTTGATAATACAATGGGGTTGGGAAATATGCTCAAATACTTCATTCAAACTCGACACAAACTAAATAAAACCGTCTTGGTTGGTCTTCCCACTGTTCCAAGAATCACCAACTCTTCTTTGGTCAAAAAAGACCACAATGTAAGTCACCAACAGATTATGATGTTTAAATGAACCGATCTCACCCAAGTAACCTCCACCTTTTTCAACATGAGAGCTACACAGACAGATGCACAGTTGAATTGTTCAGAAAATGACAAGTTTCAGCTCGAAGCTAGAGGGAACCGCGTCACTCGGAGCAGTGACCCTTCTCTCACACAAACAAACACCCGGCCCGTCTGTCTCTCACAGTCTAACAGATGTCAGCTGTGGGCGAGTGTCTGTGGTGTCAGGAAAATGATAAGCAATGGAAGGAGGTGAGGGAGGGATACTGGGAGAGAAGGATGGAGAGACGGTCTGTGCTGCGGTGATTAGGCTCAGGGGACGGTGGTGGAAAGAATGGAGAGAGGCAGAGTGTCTTTAAGAGCTGGTAACAACAAACACACACAACCACATGACAACAGAGGCACCGTTTTGCTGAATCATTATTTGCCATCAGCCAGGTAGCAAATGCTCTGAGATCTGGTACCGGTCAGCAGGGAGCTTCTGGATTAATCAACTAATTGTCGAAGCACTCTTCAAGACAGAGATAAAGATACAGATCCAAGACAGTTGGCTAATGGAGTTAATGTGTGGAGGACAAAAGGTAAAGTAAGATGGAGGCAAACCTGTGGCAGGTATTTTACAGTGGCCTGTTGCTGCAGCGACAGAGGACTCTCCATCATTGAGTCGAGTCTCTCTGATGAGCTACTGGTCAGCCCTCCCCAGTCCGTCTGACTGGGCGTGGTGCCCGCCGTTTCTGGAGAGGTCAGCGGCAGGTCGCTGGCATAGCCTGACTCTAACAGAGAGGACTGCTCCTGTGCACGAACTGGAGTACCCAAGCTCAAACCCTCGACAGCAATAGTCTCCTGAATTGGGATTTGGTTAGAGGACATGGGGAAATCCCATGCAGACATTTTGGCTCTACTTTTGTCCTCGTCAGACAGCTGGACTTTGAGAATATTCCCTGTGACTGGAGACGGGGCAAGGGGCTCTTTGCGCACCTCTACCTCACTGTCACTTTCGCCCCTCCACACTGGTGAGCCAAAATCACTGGGGTACACCGTCCTCACCACGCAGAGCTTACCATCCACCTCACGGATGTGGGCCACACCTTTGTGCTCCCTCCCTGAGTGCGTCCGCAACACCGCTATAGTTCCCTCTGGTCCTCCTTTGACCCCCCCATCCCCCTTTTCCTCTCTCTCTTTCTTCCCCTTGTCTTTTTTCTCCTTCTTTTGTCGAAGGACCCAAGGTTTCTCCAGGACCCCTTGGACTTTCTCCTTAACGCGACAGACCCTCCCTCCGCCTGGAGTGGTACTGCCCAGGGATGGGGCCGTGTTGACCGGGGTGGTGGTTGTGGTTTGGCTCGGGATGCTGGAGACGTCTATGATGGCGCTGACAGTGTCTTCCTCCCCTGGGAGGCAGAAAACTCCTCTCCAGGCTGGACTGGGCTTGGGGGACACATCAAGTATCCTGTTGCCCATCACACTGGCACTCACAGAGCCAGGGGAAAGGGTATTGCTGTGCAGATTAGTTTTGGAATGAGCTGACTGGATATCAGGCACTGGAGTAAGAGTCCCGGCTCTGTTGCTAAAATCTGCTGTGTCTATAAGTGCGGCCTTTCCCCCATCGTCTTCATCCTCTTCCTCTCTTTCATCGGGCCCATGGCGTCTTTGTCGCTCAAAGTCATCCTGTTCTGACTCTCCTTTCCTGTTCTTCTTGCCCTTGTGCTTACGCCTGAAACGTAGACGTTTCTTGGGCAAAAGTGGGGGGGCTCCAGCGAGTTCCCCCTCCCGAGAAGGCCTGACACAACCCATGGAGCTCCCCATGTCCTTGTTGTTGACAGATAACAGTGTACAAATACAGGTGGTTAATCCATCAGACAGGGACAATGTTCATTTGGGTTCGAACATCATTTGGTGTTAGAGAGCAAAAATCCCATCCTTCAAAAAAAGACAGTAGAGGGGAAATGTACAGATAGGCTAGTAAGTGACTGACATCTCCCTCAATAATCTGACACCTGTGAGTAATGGGAAGTAGGGAACAGTGCACCTAGCTCCATTTTCCATGGCAGCATCTTAAACCCACCTTGGTGAATTAAGACAGGGTTGGTATAACCATCACCGAAGGAGCGAGACGGAAAGTCCGTCTTTTGGTTCAGTCACAAGGCTGACAGCTGCAGGCCGACGTGTCAGAGCTCCCACCCGTCCTTCACCGAGGCTCCCGAAGGGACCACTGCTCTCTCCAAGGGCCCTGCTGTGTAACAGTGTGTGTAACAAGGCGGGCAGCTTCCTGCTTTGCTCGGTCTGTTTATCCCAGAAGACTTGTGGCTGCAGTCAAGGACACGAGGACACGGCTATGCTAGCAGAGCCACACAAGGAGGACAATAAGAGATATTAGGGTCAAGTGTCTGATTTATCACCGGGCTTTTGGCAGGTGAGCCGTTACCTGGTGTAAGGCAATGTGTCAGGCGGGATGAGGAGTGTGGGAGAGAGACAAATTGCAGTGCAGTCCGGTGCTATTCAGGCCATTAGTGAAGCGCCAGCTGCTTCACGCAACCTGCATGTGTGTATTTTCTCACTTCTTGATTCAATGTCAGAGTTCCTTCAACTATAAGAGGTGACTGAGGAAAACACCACTGCTGCTGCCGTTTCATTCAGATCCCTCTCATTTTGCAGTGGGTAATCCAACAGCTCTATCTACACTCGGATCTAGCAGCTATCTGAGCTCATGAATTAATGATGTCTCTCCCTCCTACTGTGGTAATGTTATTGCAGTGCAAGAGGGAGAGAAGTACGATCCGTAACGCGAGTCAACCACACAACAGAGATCGGTGGGAATCCTATCCGTCACGGTGCTCGTAGTGGAAGTAGTATCAACGTTGAAGCTGTCGATACCTATCGTAGTGACGGCGGGCTCGGTGTCTCATTCTGCCGAGGCAGCGCAGTGTCCAGATTGGTTGTGGGTGAGGGATAAGCGCAGTCAGCCAATGCTGCCACGGCTTGCAGGGAGATTCAGCCAATACTCCGACAGCTTGTTAAATACTCAATCAGAGCTTGCGGCTTCCCGCCCTGATGCTTCTCCTCGTCATCCTCCCACGAGTTATCCTGCCCATTGAGCTGGTGTCTCGAGTGACGTGTCGATCCATCCAGCTTGTGTGCGCTCCTCTTAAGGGACTGTTGCTGTCAATATATTGGGATCCAAAATTGCCGGCGTTAATTTATCCCATTGGCAAGATTTGCAGAAAGGTTCACGGTCTTTACGATGATCATGTGGGGCGGCCACATACCTGTGGAATCAAACTCACTGTAGTCCAGAAAACCCACAAAAAGCAGCTGTGTGCCGTAGAGAGGGGGCCGGTCTGAATCTGGGGGCAGCCAAGCACAGACAGACTCCACCGTAAGCTCCCCAGACAGCTTAGCATCTCATGCCTCTCCCCTGGATACCAGTCTAAAGATCCCCCCACCTCAGTGTGGGACTCCCTGTGGACCAGAGTTGGCTGGGAATTGTGTTCCAGCGCTGTCCAATCATAAACCTCCCGTGTCAGTCTCCCGTGTCAGTTACTCAAGCAAGCTTCCCCTTCATCAGGTGGTGCAGTGCGACGATGGTAACAGCCTGACAAACTCTGTCCTCTCTGGTGCCTGTTTGTCTCTTAATAACTCCTCACATCCACTGATCTAATTAGGAAGGCATCTCGCGTAGGAGCCGGATCCAGCTAAAAGTAGCAGACCTACTTCAGGTGGCGATGTGTGTCTGGAACAGAGCCAAAGGGATTCAGCGTCCAGTGAAGGGCAGTCTTGAACTCCACGCAGCACAGCGGCGGAGGTTAGGACAAGAGGGGCCGCACTCCATGTCCCCTTAAAAACACAAAGACGTGCAGGGAGCAAAAAAACAAGTACGCAGGGCGTCTCCGGTTAAAAGACAACCGTGGCTCCCTCAGACAAGCATGGCGAGATTGATCCGATTGACACGGTGGAGGCCAGAGACACAGCAAGTGTGCGGCTGTCCTGGAGACGGGGCGAGTGTGTGTTTGTGCCTGCGAGCTTGGGGCGGTCCCCTGGTCAGCTGTGTGAGCCCGTCTGCATACGTGTCCTCGAGTGTGTCTTGTCCTGCAGTGCGTTTTGTGGTTTGAGGCCTGCTGATCCGATGGAAGCCGGGAGCTCCGGTGACTGCAGGCAGCATGGATCCGTCTCTCCCTCGCCAGGTTTAGCTCCTCCGCTTTATCCCTCGCTTGCAGACGCCGGGTGGAGGGAGAGAAAAGCTTTTATCTACCGGCTGCTGCAGCTTCACACTCTCTTCTGCTCGATCTCTCACTCTCACAATCCACCCCTCCCTGCATGGCTCTCCTCCTCCTATCCGCTTCCTCGTCACTCCTGCCTCTCTCTCTACCTCTAGCTCGCTCTCTCTCTCTCTCGGCTGTTAGTGAGCAGCTTCTATGCCACAAAAACACACATCACACATCACACACACACACACACACACACACACACACACACACACACACACATACACTTGACCCAAAAGCTTCCCTTGAATGACAGCGAGCAGGAGAGAAATCACATCTGAAGACTGGTGAGTCTCCGCAACATAAATGAGAAGCCGGCTTGCACTTCAATCCGTTTCTTCTTTTCCCATCTATTTCCCTCAGTCGCCATCTGTCCATCAAGCTACAGGTTATGAATGGCTCTGGGAGTGAAGAGGAGAGGCGCAGGGTGAGGGAGGGAGGGAGGGAGGAAAGAGATTTGAGGGAATTAAGAGAAAGTTGAAAAGTACAGAAGAAAAACAGGAGCGGACGGATGAAGGCTGTGAAAGGATCAAGAGAGGGGGGGGGGGCACACACGCTTGAGTCAATGTATACGTCTATACTATTAATACAGAGGTAGCTACGCTTTCAGTATCACTGGTTGTATACCTTCATTCCAGGCTGTTTAATGGCAACATGGGATGTGCAGGACTTTCTGCATCAATGTGATAAAGTACCTGGATTTTACAGCCATTTAATCCACCGGATTAATCCAAAACACATCCTTTCAATCCGATTTTTTAAATCTACAAACGATTAGTGCAGTGCTAAAACGATTATTGACGGATGGATTATCTGTTTAGATCATTTATGCCAAAATATTTCTGGTAGCAGAGCTGTGACCATCTTGTTCTCTTTGGACTGTTAAATCGGGTTTTGGGAACTTGTGATCCTGATATTATACAGTTTGATCAGCAAACAATTCACAGATTAATCGCTAATGAAAATAAAAATCAGTTGCAGTCCGAATAGACATTGAAGTGTGAAATGTGGTTGTCAACCGGACAGAAATTGTGATGTTTTATGTTCCACCCAAAAGCACTGTGATCTGTAACTCCCTTCCTACACTGTGGACACATTTAAAGGCGTGTTGCCACACACACACATCCTTAAAGCCTCGATAAGCTTCCACCCACCATCGCTGCACACAGGCTGAACAACACAGCTCATACATGCATGAGATCCCGTACAGTGCAGCATGGCAGCAACACTGCAGGGGGAAAGGGTTCGTCACCGACACTGCTGATGTATGAACTCATGGTACTTAAAGCAAGTGCCTAATGTTCGGTGAATGTTTTCAGAGAGACAGATATGGATGGAGACCAAGAACAGGCATGATCCATCTTCTCTCATTAACCGAAAGAGAACAACACACACAAACACACATGGAGAAGGCATGAACCAATGGGAGAGAAGCACTAATCAAGCCCCCGAGGCTTCACTGAGGCTACATGGCATCGACAGCATCAGACTGCAGCCTCCGTCTGAACCCAGCACAACCGCTGCATGACATACTTTCAGAAACTCTTTTCATCAAATATCTAGCAGCTCTGTTGACAGTAATGTGCTCTGAAGCACAGCGATTGATCTTTACATTTTAATTATAATAAGTTTATATTCCATCTGCACTCAGAGGAGCTTTAAGATGCAGAGTCTTTATGTTATTATATTCCAAAGCGTTTTGAAAAAGAAAATTTGAATAATTGTTAAGATCACTGCTAAAAACAAAAGATGACATTGTATATTAGCCCACTACTACGGGAGCCTGAAAGGGATGTGAGAAAAAAAAAATCTTGTTATTCTGGCCTAAATTGTTTAGCGACAGGTGAAACAAAGGAATTGCCAGAATTATCCAAGTTTTGGCAGGTGAATGTATTTTTGGCGGGATCATTTTTAAGTGTTAGATGTTGTAGTACTCAGGTCGGCCACAAGAGGCTGAAGAGCACCACTGCCCGATGTTCTAAATAGGACTAAATGAGTTCTAATTCAAGGAACTTAGAAAGATGTTCCTGGCAAAACCTTTTCCACCTGTTCTTAAGTCATAAACACAGGAGACAAAACAGTTAAGATCTGACTTGGAAAATTGATCACCAGAATATTGTTTCTCATTTGCCTCTTGGGCTTCCGTACATTCACCATGGTGGTGATGTGTGTCGGGAGTTCTGGCTCTGCAAGCACTTCAGAGCTCCACTGCTGCGTCCAAGTTACACAAAATATTATGCCACGCTCCCCAAAGCATTGACCTCAAAGTCATTCATATTACTGAACGAGATTAAACAGGTGACAATAAACCGAACTGAAAATAAAGTCATTGAATGCAGTCTGTGTTGCTGAGAAACCTCATGACTGATTGTTACCACGGTAAAATGAAAAGGACTAACAAGCATTGAGAAGACAAAAGAGGTTTGTATGAAAAGATAAACATCTGGCATGGCTTTTGCATTTTTAGTAGTGCTGTTTTTTACTTGTGCTCCTGACAGCGTCCACACAAGTCTACAGTGAAGTAATTTTTAACCTGTACAGTCGGCAATCAACGGATGCAGGACAGGCCTAAATCAGTGCCAAGCAACGGCACTGATAAAGTAACCCCACCTGCTGATTCTGCCTGGAAGCAAGTCAGAGAGACGCTGATGAAACAACTCAGAATATTAATGTACAGCTCGCTGAGCCAATCACAGGCAGACACAGTGCAACAGGAGGAGGGCCCATGGACAGGGATGAGTCTTTAACACTGAGCTAACTGGTGTCACCTAGTGGCTTCACTGAGCTACTACAGTCAAGTGTAAATGGAGAGTAGTGGGATCAATATCGCCAGGGTTCGATTCCCAATGATGATGAACATGTGAACGTATGAATGGTATTCATCAAAACATCTTACTATTGTCAACTGGGACTCTTTTCATAGATGCTACAGAAAGCTTGTCTGCGTGCTTCGGCGGGCAACATGTCTGCAGTGTTGCAGAAATGAGCTGTTGGCTGATGGACATTTGCAGAACATACACAGAGAAGATGTTATTAAAAACCTCGGAGTTTGACGCTGTTTGAGCAGGATTGCCGACTAAGCAGGTTGTCTGGGCCAGCTGACAGAGTGAGGTAAGCCGGAGATGACACCTCGTCTGTGACTTCATGTGCCAGTAGAATAATGACGAACAACAGTTATTAGTCCAAATGAAAGCTCACTGAGAGCCTTCCTATCATCAAGTGATGTGCTGAGTCACTCGTTTGCACAAACGCGTTCTGGTCACAAAGAGCTGGAGGCTTGTTTCCAGGAACGACTCCATCATCATCATGTTCATCATCAGACCAAAGCGGCTGGTAGGAATAGTGTGGATATTGAAGATTTCTCTATTTGGGTCACATATCTTGTGTAACAGAGAATATCTGTCTCATGACGACTCTGCAGTGGCTTAAGGATTCTCTTTCTGCGGGTTTGAGCTGTAATACACCGACTACCATTAAAACTGTGAGCTGTGATTGGACTCATGGTGTTCAATATACAGTACAAACATGTACATTTCAATATTACTCTTATTACTTTGAGTCAAAGAGAAAAAGCATTCTGTCACAACATTTCCTGAACTTTACTGCACTAACGTGTCTTGTTTTTTCACTCTCTATTTGATAAGAGCAGAAAGAACTCCGAACATAAGAATATGCCATTTATATAGTATATTTGCAGTGTAGTCCAACGTATGTATTTTTTTTTAGATAGATAGATAGATATATATATAGATAGAGTATATAGATCCACCACCATGCCTTCATGGTAATAACCGTCTCACACTGCAGGGACACAGAGCTCTGTGCTCGAGTCTCTCACTGCAGCTCTTAATATGAAACTGTCGTCATCTGAAGAACTCTAGAAACTCTGAGACGAATTGCCGTCTGCAGGCCAATTCCATCTTTCCACCTCTATGTTTATGTATTTCTATCTCTCCCAGCCTGTTTCAGCCCGGTCCTGTCCATCAATTTGGGTTAGTCCTCTACTCCCCTCCTCCTGCATCATCTCTCTCACACACACACTCACACACACACTCACACACACACACACACACACGCTGAGTCATGGCCAGTGAAACGGTTGCCGGAGTGTCACGCACTACTGTTTCCACGGTAACCAGCTGGCAGTGTCACCTTGCTACGGGTCACATCGCAGCACAATCTAGTGGTCAACCATAGCAACTACAGCTGGTACATGGACCTCTCTGATATCTTTCAGCAATAAAAAATAAAAAAAATGTTTATTAGATGCTGAGAATGTTTTTTGCCCGTCATGCATGACTGGGTCCCTCTGTAATGACGGCCCCGTCTGCAGGCCACATGGACGCAGGGACACCGACCTAAAGACAACAATGCAGACATGTCTCTTCATTTACAACTTATTGCTGAAAAATCCTTTTTAGCTGCAATGTTGTTTTTTCTGAAATCATCTGAGAACTGTTTTGCTTTTGTCTTTTACTGTGAAGCACTTTGTGACTCCTGTTCTGACATCCTGTATTTTCACTTGAACCATGACTAGTTGTTGTGATCGTAATACAAATACAAAATGTTTTTTTATCACAAAAGCACTAAAAAAACAATCATCTGAAAATGAGGAAAAACAGTGTTTTGTGTGACGCTTTAGAAAACATGATTAAATCACAGATAAGCCTCCGTGCACAGAGTCACTTTGTACACACTTAAAACACTTATAAAACACACACAATAACGTGTGTCAATCCAACTACAGTAGCACATAAGTACACACACTGACTGTCAGCTAACCACCATGTTGTTTCCTTTAGGAGACTTCAGAGTCTCTGTTCTCAGTACGACAGTTCTATTCTCACTGCACAGGCTGAGTGAAGGAAACCATCTTACTGGCAGGAAACACGTCTGGCTCAGAGACCCTACAGAAGAATTCTAACATACACACCGTTTGTTATGATTTCCACTTTGAGGTGCAAAAAGCAACTTGTTCTGTTGCACCAGTAAACACTGGTTTACACACACAAACACACACAGAGCTAAGCTCATCCTGGCAGTGATAATACATCCAATCCCAACAGCTGGACAGACATGCTGAGTAACAAAACACGGGAATAAAGTCCACATGTGGAGCAATTTGCGTTGGTTAAAATCCAGATGGAAGCAGAGCAGTAATGATGTGGGCCGTGACTCAGTTGTTACATAATAACTAGAAAGGTGCACTTTTGCCATGCGTGTCTGTAATTGCCACCGCTGTATTGTGTGATTGAGCCCACAAAGCGTCGTAAAACACACTTTGTTCAAACTCAGAAACAACCGGCTCAAATGTGTCATCAAGAGCGGGACATAAGAGCCTGGAGCTGCCCATCAAGCTTTTCAAATTCAAGAAGTTACGTTCATGTTGGTTGGACAGAAATAACCCTTAAACACAGAGGCAGAAGCTCCAGAACAGCATGTGGAAGTGCACAGACCTGGAAGTGAAGGATGATGGTCCAGATGAGACCGAGCGTCAGTTTGGGATTCCCGTCGGTGATGTCGTCGTTCCTGATGTTCACAAGTTTGACCTGAAAACGGGAAAACAGAATTTCTTTTCATTTAGTTTCCTAATGAAGTACTCAAAATAAGATGTGCTATAATACAAGCCAATCATTTATTCATAAAGTAACTTTTAATCACTACCAAAGACAAGAAAACGCATAACTAGTCTTCACGTTCTGCATGTTACGGGATGAAAAATGATCTCTGTTCCACCGATCACGCCCATTATGTGTGAGGGACCTTGTGAAACCTCGCGGCTCCGGCTAAAGCAAGCCACCCAGGCCTTATAGGTAGACCTGCAGTGAAACTCAAAGGATTTAGAGGAAGAAAAAAGACGAGAGTCACGGAGGAAGAGGTGCTTTAAGTGAGAGAAAGAGTTAACGAAGAGACGCAGCGTTAGAGAGAAACAGATCCATTCATGACAGCCAGAGAGGGAACAATGACAGATGCAGTATGAAAGATGGCAGATGTATGATGAAGCCAGGAGAATACTTGGTACAGTTAAACAGATTTAGAGGTGAAACATTCTCTCTTTCTTCACTGCACCAAAAGACTCCCAATCACTAGCTTTGGCAAACTGAGTGAAATCTGGAACTTTAAACTGCATACAAGTTGTTCATTCACTCTGTTCACAGTCTACATACATAATAATAGTTATATTTAGTTATTTTCCTGAAGCAGTTTTTCATGCACGGATCAATTTTGCGATTTGGGACCATTTTGCTTCCATAACACGTCTTCTTTCAGACCAGTGGACAGAAACGTTTGCCCATGTTTGTCTGATTGTTAGTGTGCGTACCTGTCTCTGTTTGAGGAAGTCCAGCGCTATTTGGACATTCTGCAGTCGATGAAACCTCATGCGTCCCTTTTCTCTGGGCTGGAAGAAAAAACAGAGGAGAGAAATAATGAGGAAAGTCAACTAATGCTTTTAAACCCCATGTTGTTTTTAGTGACGCAAAAGCAGGAGGCAGCCATGAGTGCAAATAAAGCTGAATTCAATCCACACAATCCATGAAGTAAGAAGTCAGCGCGGTTGTATTGACACAAGATGGTCCTCTGGGGGGCGCTGTCTTCAACAGGAGCTGTTAAAGACATGCCCAAACTCACAAGCACACTTCACCCAAACCATGCTGGTTTAGAATGAAAGAATCTTTATTCAGCACAGTTTCACAAACAGACGTCCATGTTACGGTTCAGAGGAAGGAAAGATATAGTTTAAGAGAAAGAGAAAGAAAACCAAACACACACACAGCATCGCAAAAAGTACATGATTGCAGGATGCAGATGCGAGTTCACACTGTGCTGATAACAAGAAGGTACACTCAGGATTAGTCATCACTTCAGCAAGACTGAAATAATGGAGGAGAGAGGAGAGAAGAGGAGGAGAAAAGATGAGACAAGAGGAGAGGAGAGTAAGAGGAGAGGAGAAAAGAGGAGGAGCGTAAGAGAGGAGAGGAGAGGAGAAAAGAGGAGCGTAAGAGAGGCGAGGAGAGGAGAAAAGAGGAGCGTAAGAGAGGATAGGAGGAGAAAAGAGGAGAGTAAGAGAGGATAGGAGGAGAAAAGAGGAGAGTAAGAGAGGAGAGGAGAAAAGAGGAGCGAAGGAGAGTAAGAGAGGAGTGAAGGAGAGTAAGAGAGGAGCGAAGGAGAGTAAGAGAGGAGAGGAGAAAAGAGGAGGAGTGTAAGAGAGGAGAGGAGAAAAGAGGAGGAGAGTAAGAGAGGAGAGGAGGAGAGTAAGAGAGGAGAGGAGGAGAGTAAGAGAGGAGACAAGAGGAGAGGGTGGTGTATGTGTTTTCTATGCTGTACATTACTAAGTGCACGATTTGTTTACAATAAGTGAGCTGAAAATGTACTTCTTTATAATAATTTTTTAATATTTCAGAAAAATGTTTGAAATCCTGAACTTTCAATATCCTCTATAAAAATTATTTATGAATTTACAACTAACCAGTGATGGTGTCATACTGGACTGTGTTTCATCCTCATGAAGGAGGGAATATGTCTCAGTATAATGTTACAGCCTGAATAAGTAACATATAGTGACTATAATGACTCTCTCCAGTCATTGTAAAGGTAGAAGCTGTTGCATTAGATTACTAATGAAGCGTATGATATAACTTTTATTTTATTGTACACAATTCATGCATAACAGTAGCATTGCTGGGTGACAACTTCAATCTTTAAAAAGCCTAATAACTTTTCAGGATTAACAACCTTTCTGAACTGTCTGTCTCCTCACAGGAACATACTTAAACATAAAACTGTCACAGCGTTTGTTATGAGGCTGTCACCCAACAGAATGACGGCCTACATGTGGCGTCACACAGCAACATCGCAGCATTGCATGGTGTCGTGTGCAGCCCAGTATGCTGGTCAGAAATCAGTGGCACAGCACTCGCATGCAGCCTCACAGCTCCACCTATGGGGGGGGGGGGGGGGGGGGGGGGGGGGGGGGGGGGGGGGGAGGGA